CCAAAACAAATTACCAAGCCTATTTTCCTTGTCAACACTAAACTTACAAAAGAATTCAGGATCGATTGCTCCTTTAGCTTTCAAGTAAGAGAGTGCGACTTTTGTATCACCGTCGAGCAAGATTTCCCTACTTGATGCATCCAACTTATTGTATAGATCTTTGATTTGAAAACCAACATTTAAATACTCACCACATTGGTTGATCATATACTCATATGTATGACATGTTCTGATCAATGCTCTTCGCATTCCCACTACTTGTGCTAAATTGGAATTTCGAACAACATAGTTACATCGGAGGTATGAAGATTGAAGTGGAGTATCTAGTTCATGATTGTGATGTGGTTCAAAATTCATAACAACGTAAGTATCATGTTTCTTCTCCTAACCCACCAAAAAATGGGTCGGACAATTCTCTCTTGTAATTGGCTTTGGTTGCCGAATTTTATTTGGTACATCATTAAACTTCTTATTTCTCAAACCTTCTTTAGAACAACACCACTGTCTCCTACTTACTTTTCCTTCGTATTATGAATCAATTTGTCCTTTCTCACGCTAAATCCAACGCCATTTCCATAACTCATATAATATTTTTTTGCTAATTCTAAACGTTTTAAACTTTTGCTAATCCTCAGTAGATTAATGTCAACACCATTATAATCACAACTTTGACTAACTGGATGTTCGATTGGCATATGCCCACTCTCTATTTTCGGTGCCCCGTGACTCGACCTTTCACAACAACCTAGGTACCCTGAATCACTACAACCACCCTTTGATGTCTTTACGCCCCTGTCCATCTTAGTAGACCTCTCTGTGCCTGAGTAACATAAATTCAAACTAAAATTACATTATAATCTATTTGCTAACATACTTTCTCTTCAATACAGACAAATGAATAATCTCAACATGCAATTGCATATAGTCACGTCAATAATTGTCGCACGGATAACTGTTTTGCAACCAAAAACATTTCATTGCATGAATTCATTACCCAAAATACATTCAACTCCTAAACCAGAAAAAAAGGGTTGTTTGAACTCTTACTTGATGTTTCCAAACTTTCAATGTCTCCTCCTTACACTTCCTTTTGCCTTCAACTCAAATGTCGTCGTTTCGGGCATCCGTTCTCTCTTGTTTCTTGAGTTCTGGAGTGCGTCTCGTATTTTGATTTTTGCAGATGCGTTTTGGCCAAGCACAGAGAAGAGTTGGAGGCGCGTCGGATGAATTTGGGCAAGCAGAGAGAAGAGTTAGAGGCGCTTAGGATTGGATTTAGGCAAGAAGAGACAAGAGTTGGAGGCACTTGTGATTGGATTTGGGTAAGCAAAGGCAAGAGTTGAAGCGAGCGTCGTCTTCGACCTACAGAGCGTGCGTCTGGGTTCTGTTACCCTTTCTCAGAGTCACATGTGACTTACGTGTTCAATAACAAATGGCTGAATATATTATTCAATCATTCAATCTTAGCCATCCATTTTTAAAACGCAAACTCAGCTCTTTGATAAGTGGTTGTACTGGTACAATTGATGTACCACAGAATTTTCGACTAAACTAATAGTCGGTTTGAATGGTGTAGACATTTTTTCGTCCACCCTAAAATTGCATTGATTGGATAGGTTAGGCACACTATAATTTAGGGCTCAAATCAATAGTTGAGATGATGATGTCGATTTCACAAATTCCGAACTCATAATTGCACAAATCATTATTTGGTGGGTCGATAAGGAGTGACTCGTGCATAAGTGTTGGTTTTCTGTAAGTTGGGTTGAGACTTGAGAGGAGAAAATTGATGGGAGGATTTTGTTTTTTTCTAAATCATTTTCTTTTTACTTGACACATACCTCTCTAGTCTCATCTAGGACAACTCATTGAGCTTCGATACCCATGAAATCTGACATGGACACAAAACAAATTTAATGCACCGCGACGTATCTAATAATTCCAATAATACATGAGAAATTAAATTTATTACCTCTGCAATCAAATAGTCTTTTATAAGTTATTGTAGATATTTTAAAAATTAGTTTAACAAACCCATGTTGTCAACATTAAGAAGACCAAACAATTATAGCTCCCTTTCGCGACTGCATACAAAAATCGATGCTTGATAAACTTTAACCACACCCTCATCAACTACCTCCAAGTTCAGAAAATAATGATGACCACAATGTTTGTGCCATGCCCTTAAAACTCTCACAGGTTGCAGTTAGGCATTTTAAAATAGAACGGAGAACATTATGTACAATTCAAACAATTAAACATTAATACAAACAACAACAAAATCACTACGATTTGTAAAATATTAATGATTATTTCAAAAAATTGCAACAGTTGTGTTATGTTCAAACCATTTCCTTATTGTACTCTCTCATGGTAAAATTGGCATGAGGTATAATATTGGGATCATGCATAGAACAAGGAGCTACACCAAAATAACCTACCAATCTCTGTCTGAATTGTACAAATAATGTTACAAGCACACACAATCAGAACAAATTAACACATACACACATATAGATATACATATACAGTCGTGTTCTAGATATATTCCCTTCATCCATATGAATGCTAGAGCCCTGGCGGAGCCATAAGCTGTGGCATGCTCTTTAACACGACCAGGAGACGTTCGATTACACTTTTGAGTGAAAGTGTAATCTTCCTCCCAGTGCGTAAGGTGTGCAAGGTCTCAACGTACGCGGTTACCGCAAAAAACCCAAAAGTATGCTAATAAGAGAGGTTTTGAACTAGTATAGTCTAGGAAGAAAAGAAAGAGAGAGCAAGTAATTTACTTACGTTTGTCATGCTGGTTACGGATGGGACCCATCAAGGGCCTCAAGTTAACCGCTGTAATCCACGACCTCAAGTCAATCTCTGTAATCTTTCTTGCTGAGCTCAAAGTGCTAGACCCCTGTAATTTAAAATTGAGTTGGGATTTAGTAGTGGAGAAACAAAAAATAACTTTATCAAATGGTACTTAGACAAAACTTTTCGAATCTTCTTTGAAGTTATGAATTCCATTAGATGTCTTTAGAAAGAAAATGCACTGTAGAACACTTTTTGGTACCTGGATCTAGCGAAACTGCAGAACATTTTCTGTACATGCCTTTGCTGAAACCGTAAGCTGATTGAAAATTGAAAATAAGAAAAAAAAACCAAAAAAGGTGTACAAACTGAATGACATTTGAAAATCAGAAAAAATATTACTAAAAATAATAATTAATTTGATTTGACAAAAAAAAATTAATCTCCAAATTTAATCAAATTGAAGAGTTAACACAGACTTGCGGTTTGGATCCGAATGTTGATTTTGTTCCAATTATTTGGAATTTGAGGAGAATGGCCATGGCCATGGCCATTGCGAGAAGAATTGAGAGGAGGAAAAGCGGGAATGATGTTGGGAAAAGGGGGAGAATGATGAACTTAATTTGGGCTTACCGTTTTCTTTAATAATAATAACACTTTTAACTTTTTTCTTACATGAAAGTGTGACAGAAAAATATGACAAAAAATCCGTAATTTAAAAAAGAAAGAAAAATTATATTTCCTGTATGATTGATGTGTGAATGAATTTGGGGGAATTGAGTGCATTTTGGATTTGCATTTGTTTTTTCTAAATCATTTTTTTCTTGATTAACACATACCTCACCGGTCTCATCTACAGCAACTCATTGAGCTTCGATACTCAAGAAATCTGACATGGACACAAAACAAATTTAAGGCACTGCGACGTATCCAATAAGTCCAATAATACCTGAGAAATTAAATTAGTTAGCTTTGCAATCAAATAGTCCTTTATAAGTTATTGTAGGTATTTTAAAAATTAGTTTTAACAAACTCTTGTTATCAACATTAAGAAGATCAAACAATTATAGCTCCCTTTTGTGGCTACATACAAAAATCAATGCTTGGTAAACTTTAACCACACCCTCATCAACTGCCTTCAAGTTCAGAAAATAATGATGATCACAACGTTTGCACCATGCCCTTAAAACTCTCACAAGTTGCAGTTGGGCATTTTAAAATAGAACGGAGATCATTATGTAGAATTCAAACAATTAAACATTAATAATAAAAAAATCACTACGATTTGTAAAATATTAATGATTATTTCAAAAAATTGCAACAATTATGTTATGTTCAAACAATTTCCTTGTTGTACTCTTTCACGGTAAAATTGGCAGGAGGTATAATATTGGGATCATCCATAGAATAAGGAGCTACACCAAAACAACATACTAATCTTTGTCTGAATTGTACAAGTAGTGTTACAAGCACACACAATTAGAACAAATTAACACATACACACATATACATATACAGTTGTGTTCTAGATATATCTCATTCATCCATATGAATGCTAGAGCCCTGACGGAGCTATAAGCTATGGCACGCTCTTTAAAACGACCAAGAGACGTTCAATTACACTTTTGGGTGAAAGTGTAGTCTTCCTCCCAATGCGTAAGGTATGCAAGGTCTCAACGTACGCGGTTACCACAAAAACCCAACAGTATGCTAATAAGAGAGATTTTGAATTAGTATAATCTAGAAAAAAAAAAAAAGAGATGACAAGTAATTTACTTACGTTTGGCATATTGGTTACGGATGGGACCTATCAACGGCCTCAAGTCAACCGTTGTAATCCACGGCCTGAAGTCAATCTCTGTAATCTTTCTTGCTGGGCTCAAAGTGCTGGATCCTGTAATTTAAAATTGAGTTGGAATTTAATAGTGAAGAAACAAAAAGTAGTGTCGTGAGGTGACATTTATCTCCACTTTCTTATTGTTCAAAATTCAATTCATTTATTTGTTCAAAATTCAATTCATTTATTTGAAGCAATTCGTAGTCTTAAATCGAAACAATTTATTTTATTTGACAAATTGAGCCGACCCCACTCGGTTGGTTTGGTTGGTGTGGGCAGTTGGATCGGGTTTTTGCCCGCCCAGCTGCACTGGGTCCGGTCCACTAACTACCAGTAGGAATTCTTCCACCACATCTTGCGGCGGGAAAAGGGTAAATTGGAGAGTGAATTGGCGGGAACAAATCGAAGCCCAGAAAGTTCACATATAAATACAGCCCCTACTTCTGCTAAACCATTTCTCCAAATTTCAAAACCTCTGATTCGAAAATGGGGAAAAGAAAGAAAGCTAGGGTTTCTGAGCAAAAGCAAGCACGACAAGTCGAAGAAGAAGAAGAACAACAACAAAGCGACGAGGATCACAACCCCACTTCCACCAACGAGAAGACCCTCTACGAGGTGATTAAGAATTATATTCAAAATTTTGCTTGATGTGATTTGATTAACCTATTGATCTCTTTCTTTAAGCTAGAAAAATTAGATTTTTTTTCCTAATTTGGAAAATTGGGGATTTTAAGGCACTAGGTTATTCTTGTTTTGTAGGTTCTTGGAGTCGATGGACGCGCCTCTCAACAGGAAATAAAGAAGGCGTATTATAAGTTAGCGTTGCGACTCCATCCTGATAAAAATCCCGGCGATGAGGTGAAAGTCGAAAAAAAAATCGTGTTTTTGTTTGATGATTTTCTCTCAACTGTGAACTGTGGTTTTTTTGCAAGTATAATTTGTCAGTTTTGTTTTATAGGAAGCTAAAGAGAAGTTTCAGCAATTGCAAAAAGTGATATCAATTCTTGGGGATGAGGAGAAACGGGCACTCTATGACCAGACTGGTTGCATTGACGATGATGTGAGTGTAATTTCTTTGTTTTGCAATTTAAAGAAAACCCATCCTTTGTAATTCATTCATTTTTAGACAATGCTGTGTAGTGTGATAAATTGGATTCATTACTAGAAATGACAAGTAAATGTGTCAATCCTGGTGTTCTCAAATTATAATAACTACTTCGTACTCACTCAACTACTTTGGAAGATCAAATTGAGGGTTTAGATCCTTGGGAAATCCAATGCTGCCTTACTAATCAAATGGTGCTTATTTTGGTTGTGCTTTTTTCATGAGCAGGACCTTGCTGGTGATGTTGTTCAGAATCTGCGTGAATATTTCCGAGTCATATATAAAAAGGTCACAATGTTTTCACCTCTTCATGCTGTCTTTTGATGTAATAACGTTATTTGTACTTTCTCTGCTTTCTTTAGATTTATGACAACATATACATCAATTGCAGGTCACTGAAGCTGATATTGAAGAGTTTGAAGCAAACTATAGAGGATCCGATTCAGAGAAGAAAGATTTGATTGATCTGTATAGCAAGTACAAGGGTAATATGAACAGGTATTGGCAGTATTAGCATTGTGTTTATCCTTTTTCCCTTTTGTTTTCCTGTTTGGCGCTGACAGTTGTTTCCCTTGCAGACTCTTCTGTTCAATGCTTTGTTCAGACCCTAAACTTGATTCACACCGTTTCAAGGATATTCTTGATGAGGCAATAGCTGCAGGTGTGGATGTCTTTTAAGCTAAATTTTCAATGTGAAATTTCAAAACAGGGTTTTCAGTTGTTTCTAGTTTAATTACTTGAATATATTGTTGACAATGCAAGTTTATCCATGTGGTTGAAGGAGTACATGGATTTAATGATTCATCAAACCTAGTCATTTCAAATTCATGATGTTACATTATATCTAGTCAATTCTAATACATTGTATTTAGTATTTTTATGGTTCTACCAAATATAAGCTTATTGTCAAACTCAAGATCCTAATTTATTGTTTTAAATGATGTCTTAGACCAAGTTTGCTTGCTTCAACTTATAGATGCCCAACCACAAAACTTACATCATATTCTTTGCGTAGTGTCATTTAATCTGGGGTTGGACATGGTTTGATTGTTTCAAATTATAGATGTCCACAATACAACAGCAGACAATCAGATTAACCTGAATGTTGAAGCAGATTCCCCCTTTAGTTAGCTCCTTAGTGTGGTCTTGCCATTTGGATTCTTTCCTCTTGACATTGCTTCAGTTTTTTTGGGTTCAATGAATGAACCTTTATAAGAGTCTTGTTCCAATCATTTTGAGTCGGCTACACGAATCTTGGTCCTCCATTTTGTCCTATGACAAATCATTTCATGTAATTCACATCCTGTCATATATTTAATAATTACTTTTACTCATCTAAGCTCCATCATCTATCTTGATTAAGTCACTCCTGATTGGTGCATCTATCAATAATTGTTGAACATGCCTAACTGTCATGGTTGGGTCTCTCATTTGATCTCCAATGGGTGTTATTGGCGCATCTTTAAAGTCATAGAAGTCAGACTTTCTATGCAAGTAATGTTAACAAAGTTGATGTACTTGGCATACTGAATTTTCCTGCATTTAAGGGTGTGCTGGAGTATCTTTCATGTTGCTGACTCTCTCTCTCTCTCTCTCTCTCTCTCTCTCTCTCTCTCTCGCATAGGAGAACTGAAATCAACCAAAGTCTACACGAAATGGGCAAAGAAAGTATCTGAAGCAAAACCTCCTACTAGCCCTTTAAGGAGGAAGGACAAGTGAGTACTTTGCTACAAGTTTATTTAATTGCTTAAATTTAATGTTTAGCTCAATCAAGAAATGAGAAACCTTTATGGTTAAATATTTTACAGACCAAAGAAACAGTCAGAGGATCTGTATGCAATCATATCTCAGCGCCGAAATGAGAGGAAAAACCAGTTTGATTCTATGTTCTCTTCTCTAATTTCCAAATACGGCGGGAGTAGTGCTGCTTCAGAACCCTCAGAAGAAGAATTTGAGGCAACACAGAAAAAACTTGAAAGGAAAATGTCCAGAAAATCAAAGCACAAGTAACTTGACCTCCTGATAGCGTGCACAAATTTATTTTTGCAAACAATGTAATGCCCTTTTGTTAGATATCCAAATGTGCATGAAAATTGTATGTGACCTTTTCTTCTGTTCGTGGTTTTAGATGCATTTTCCCAATGCTAATGTGCTTGTGACCAGTCAGTTAATTTATCATTTTCAATGAGGGTTTTTGGTGGTGTTGGAATTTTTCGTTACAATGAAAGTTTCGGGTGTTGTTGGGTAGCTGCAACTGTCCACATGGCCAATTGCTCCTTGAAAGTCTTTCTTAGCCAGTTGAAAATTTTGAAGATGTTGATTCCTTTTCTGTGTTAGTTGGTAAACCATGGAGTATTTATCACCCGTCAAATTGGGATGAACGATACATCTCCCAATAGCTTTAGGTTTTAGAGGTGATTTTGGTGTAGCGTTGAAGCTTTCAACCCAAAATATTGGTAACATTTTTTTCTTTTTCAGTATTCTATAAAGATAAGGTAAATTTTATTTTTCACAAATTTTACGTTCACGTCAATTGACTTGACAGTCAACCTAATGAACGCAATACAAGGTTTTCGAAATGCTAGATTAGAGTCATAGATCAAAGTAAAATATCACCAAAGTTAATTTTTGGACTGTAATTGAGGATGTTTACATGATTAGTTTTTTCTTTTAACAAGCCATCATGGATTCATGGTCAACTTCAAACATCTTGGTGAGTTTTTATTTTTCTTCTTCAAATTTCTTAAAGAATTTTAGAGACAACTCATGAGATATTAAAAGAATAATTTCAGTAATAAACAATTTTAGAGACCGAGTATTAAATGGAACCACAGCGACTAAAGTGGACCAGCACGAATTGTAGAAAACCCAAAATAGAAACCCAAAAAACAAAAACAAAACAGATTTTTAAGTTCCAAGGACAGTGACATCACAACTACGCGCTGGAAAAAACATTCCCTGGTGAGACTCTCTCTCTCTCCCATGAATCTGAAAATGCAAGCAATGCTTTGCTTTTCTCCTTTAAGTCTTCATTCTCTTCAATACCTGTCACTTTAGCTTTTGGCTTCCCAAGCCCTCTCCTTTCTCTCTCTTCCCCACAAACCAACTTTCTATTTGGTAGATAATCAACTTCCAATTAAGTATAGTTTTATTAAAGATTACACAATTAGCTGCCTCATTTGGTTTTACTTTGAGACTGCCCTTCCACCCTCTCATCTCTAACTCTCTCTACTCTTTTTTTTGGTAAGTCATCACACTCTTAATCATCATTTCAGTGCTCTTGTTGCTTTTACTTGAGTTTGTCCTTCTGTCTTTGTCTCAGTCTCATGTATTGTTGTGATACTCATTATTATTCTGGAATTTAGCTTTACTCATTTATCTCTCTCTCTCTCTCTCTCTCTCTTACCTATAAGATCTCTCTAGTTTTTGGGAAATTTAGTAGCCTCAAAGTCTCAAGACTCTCCCTTTGAGGAGCATTACAGAGCTGTTGGTGCTTTACAAGCTGATTATTGCTGTTTTTTTTTGTTTGTTGTTAATTCTGCAAGTTTTTCTTTTCTGGGTTTTTTAATTTTGGGTCGAATTTTGCTATAAAGCAGCAAATTTTCTTGGTATTGAAGTTTATGAAATTGATCCAAATTGGGTGAATGTAGCAATTTTGACTCGGACCCCCGAAGCTGGGTTGACTTACTGAACTGTGTATCTTCTGGGTTTTGAAGGTCTTATTAGGTGGCTATGGAGACTGATGATGGTGAGATGAAGTCAAAGATGGAGGATTATGAAGTGATAGAGCAGATTGGGAGAGGGGCATTTGGAGCTGCTTTTCTTGTTCTTCATAAGACTCAGAAGAAGAAGTAAGAGTATTTTCTACCAACCTTTTTTATTTATAATTTTTTATAATTTTGTATACTTTTAAAGGGAATTTTTCTTCAATAATGTAATTCTTGTAATCTGCTAGACAATTATGTAATTGAAGACAGAATTTAGCAAGAAAACTGAATAATGGGGTAATGGGGACTGTCTGATTTTTTCTACACTTTATCAAAGTTTACATCTCAGGGTATGAATTTTCACAAGAAAGGTAGTCGAGAATCCAAAATTCTGTATTTGATTGATAGTACAATTGGTACCCAGCTCAACTTGATTAAACCTATGTTTTGCCAACTGCGTTTAATTAATAATTATTGAGTTTTTCTTTTGATAGGTATGTATTGAAAAAGATTCGTTTGGCTAAGCAAACAGAGAAGTTCAAACGCACAGCTCACCAAGAGGTTGCTTTCTCGAAAACTGTTTGCATATTGTTAAATGTAGAACTGGCTGTCAGCTACAATTTTTTATTTTTCAAATTGTTTCATTTTTCAACATGATACATTACCAATCAAAAGGTTAGGTTTTGTTTTGTTGTTCTTTCCCTCTTTGCATATCAGCTGTACTCTGAGAATGAATCAAATGTAGCATCAAATATCCATCTTTCCTGTTTTCTTGGCAGTCAAATTAGGATATATAAGCTCCAACTTCATTCTTTGCTTGTCCATATCAGTACTGTGATTTCTGCCTCTTGGGCTACAATTCATTCTGTACAAATACCAAGATCTGTTTATGTAACAATCTACTGGGAAGTGCGCTCTTGAAACGATATCCATATGAAAACAGAAGAAACAAGCATGCTTTTGCACAGACATTTGAAATATGTATCTCATTACTACAATGATCCTGGATTGTAACCTTCTGGTTGGATAATCCCCTGTTATACTCACTTAGAAAAGACGATAAAACTTGTTTTGTCCTCCAGCTCAATACTGTATCACTAGTGTTTTTTTTTCTTTTCATTAATGTGTTTCTGATATTGTGTCTAGTTTTCCACCCACCATATATGAAGAAAAGCTTAATTGTCAATGTCCTTGAAGTGATACTGAAAGATGTGTTCCCTCAATTTCTTCTGCAGATGAATTTAATTGCAAAGCTAAACAATCCATATATTGTGGATTATAAAGATGCTTGGGTTGACAAGGTAAATTTGTGATTCTTTTATAAAGTTCTTTATATTTGAATACGGCTTGAGAGTATAAATTTGGAGAAGTCTTTAGCTGATGTAACAATATTTCACTTCATACATGCATGCTTAAACGTTTATATTTTCCGTAGGGAGACTGCGTGTGCATTGTAACGGGCTATTGCGAAGGAGGTGACATGTAAGTAACAACAATGTGGATCATTGCTGTTCTAGATATGTTCTCTGCTATGATAGAATGCCCTTTTTCTTCCTTAAATGAGGAATTGATTTGAAACAGCCAATTTTTGAAACATCTTTTGCTTCTGTAATGAGTTAAAACACTTATTTCAGTCCGTAATTCTCATCCAAGTATTAGCTTGAAACTCATTGATAATCCACATGATTTTTGGACAAAATATAGGAGGTGATCTCGTATCATATTTTTCATATTCAACATGTGAAACTACGTATATATACTGTTCAGTCCTGTTCTTCTAAAGTCCATAAATAGAGTCCTTCAATGAAGTCTTGTTTCTCAGTCCTTAGACCAGATATTGGACAGTCGTGATGCATCTCAACCGTCTATATCTAATGTAGTAGATGAGAACTAAGATCTCATTTAAGGAACTTCAGAGATTATTGATTTTGCCTTTTCAATATTACATAAGAATTAGAGAATCAATCACAATACTTCCCATGATTACCAAATGAGAAACAACTCATTTCTTAACAGAGCTGAGATGGTAAAGAAGGCCAGGGGACAATTTTTTCCAGAGGAGGTAATCAGTGAAACTTCGCGTCCTGTATATGTACCTGTGTAAAGGGTAGAAACCAACTGCTCTCTGTTGTCATTCTGTTTTGCCCTGCAGAAGCTCTGCAAATGGCTGACTCAATTGTTGCTAGCTGTGGACTACCTGCACTCCAATCGTGTACTTCACAGGGATCTTAAGGTAATATAGTGTACCCGTAGTTGCAGTGAAGATAAATACATATGATGTTTGTTTTAATACAAATATAATGTTTGCAGTGCTCCAATATATTCCTTACAAAGGACAATGACATCAGACTTGGTATGTCGACATAATGATTGCTAAGAGAAGCGATGTTTTGCTGCATAAGGTTTGGCTTCCATGTGTTGATGTTTTTAAAGATATGTATCTTACATGGACCTTGTAGGTGACTTTGGACTCGCAAAACTACTCAACACAGAAGATCTTACTTCTTCGGTATGAACTCGCATTTACATTATTTAATTGTCTTTATGCCCACCTACAGTATTAAGATCTGTTAAAACCTGCAACTACTTCACTAAATCCACTTATGTCAGTTAATTTTCAATCCCTATATTTTCAACATAGGTTGTTGGAACTCCAAACTACATGTGTCCTGAGCTCCTCGCAGATATACCTTATGGCTATAAATCTGATATATGGTCACTTGGTAAGAACTCTAGAATCTTATAGTTATATTTTCACAGGCTCATGCCCATGATTTTGAATAGATATAATTTTTATTTTCTATTGGTTTTTAGGTTGCTGTATGTTTGAGATTGCTGCACATCAGCCTGCATTTAGAGCTCCTGTAAGTATAAGCTTGAGCGTTTGATGTTGCATTGATATTATTGGCTTCCAAAATGTGTCTAAACCTGTTGGCGTATATTTTTGAGTAAATAAATCCTATAAATTACCTGATTAAACAGGACATGGCTGGGCTCATCAATAAAATTAACAGATCAACCATTTCTCCTCTACCAATCGTGTATTCTTCCACACTGTGAGTAATATCTTCAAAATCATCAGACATAATGGTGCTATTTTAAATGAATATTCTTACTGCATATTTCCTGTCTTTTCTTTTCTAATTATATCAACTTATATGGTATGGCCTCCGGATCATAGGAAACAAATCATAAAGAGCATGCTCAGGAAGAGTCCAGAACACAGACCAACAGTGAGTTAGCTAACCCGACTTGCATGATGTAGAGAATTTGAGGACCGTTATTTTTTCTAATACTCCCATAATCTATTACGTTAGGCTGCAGAGTTATTAAGGCATCCACACTTACAACCATACCTTCTTCAATGTCGCAATGCATCATCTGTTTTTCTTCCAGTAAAGCCAGTAAACAGCTTGAAAGATAAAACTCCTAGAAAATCACCGCCTAGCAAACCCAGCAGTGGCAAAGACAACAGAGACAAAGAGGCTGGAACACTGAACCACCTGGAAAAGGTCCATCCATTTGAGAGCGGTGCTGATGTGACACATAGATATATAACAAACATTGATAACCCTGTATTCACAGTTAGTGCAGAAGAGCTTGAAATGAAGAGGGTTGATCCTACTAGCCGTTCTATGGAATTATCCAATGCCACTGATGGTTCAAAAGATGGACCAACTGATTCAGAAGCATCTGTTTGCAATGGAGATAAGCAAGCTGACACTATCAGAATACACCAAAAGGAAAATACCGAGTCTGACATTGAGGTTACATCAGAGAGCACACCAAATTCTCAGAATGAAGAACTAGAAGAACCTGCTGCTACAAATTTCAAACAGTTGCCAGAGGTTGATGTCAAGACTCCAAACAATGAAGATGGAAAGACATGTAGAGACCAACAAGTTCCTGAAGGAGCTAGAACAGAAGGAGAGGGTGCTAAAGAAGAAAATTGTAGGGAATTGGTTGTGTCCAATGTAGGCTGTGCCAACAAAGTTGGATCCCCTGATGATAAATGCTCGTCATCAGCTAAATCTGAGGTGGAACCCGGAAGCTGTTTACCGAAGGAAAGTTCCAATGGATATCCTGAAGGTGGTCACCTGGACTACTTGTCATCTGAAAGCAAAAATGATTGCTCCATACAGAAAGTAAAAGATGAAGTGGGAGCAAAGGCAGACAATAATAATTGCTCCACGCAGACAGAAAAATATGATTCTCATGTGGTTAATCAGGCACCAAGTGACATCTCCTTGAGCACACTAACTGCAGTAGGTGGTGATGATTCCAAGAGTGACTGGGAAAATCCAAGTCAGCAAAGAGCTGATGCCCTGGAGTCTCTGTTAGAGTTATGCGCGCGGCTACTAAAGCAGGACAAACTTGAAGAGCTTGCTGGGGTGCTAAGACCATTCGGAGAAGACGCTGTCTCGTCTAGAGAAACAGCCATCTGGTTGACAAAGAGTCTCATGTCTGCACAAAAATCTAATGGAGGATCCTAAGTTTTGATGGACATTTGTCTGTAATTTATTCAATCTTGTTTAAAAAAAGAAAAAAAAGAAAAGGTATTTGTTTCATCTTCTTGACATAAATTTGTTTGTCAACCAGAGTGGTGTTTGAACATTGAAGATTAGAGTCGGAAATAACATATTGCTGAATGTAACTGGACATTGGCTCTAATAGAAATTGGATGTGAAAACTTTTACTGCTGTCTAAATATGCATTGTAATTGAATGCTACATTTATTCTTTTAGTTTTGGCCTTATGAGGTGAGCCATAGAATAGAACAAAGTTTTGAAAGAATACAGGCAACTGAATTTAAGCAAGTAGCATATATAAATCATTAAGATTCAACAACATTGATAACATAAATAAACAACCTTATTTCTCTTGGGAATCCCATCTTCCAAGTTTATTTTTAACTCTCATAGTCTCATAAAGAATTTTGTATTCCCTGAGCTTACTGCAGGTAATAGCCAAAGAAGGACATCAGGAAGGCACCAGCCAAAGAGCCGACAATGGGCATGGCAGAGGCGGCGCCTGATGGGCTAGGGGCATGAGCTGAGGTTGGTGTGCCGGTTAGAGAGGAAGGAGTTGGGGAGGCTGCTGAGCCCACGGGGGCTGCTGAGGCCTTGGGGGTAGCAGCACCAACACCAACAGCAGCAGCAGCAGCTGCTAGTGGGTCCTTGGGGAGGTCAGCCGCCAAGACGACGCTCACGAAGGCAGCGACGACGATGATGGCAAGGGAGATCTTCTTCATTTCCATGATGAATTGTTTGAAGTGAGAATAAGTTGATCAACAACAGCTGCCTTAGAGATGAATATGAAGTAACTTCTTATTTCTTCTTTGTTTACTGTAGGTGCTGATGAATGTTGAGGAATTGGAGAGTTCAATATATAGGGAGCATTTTGGGTTATTATTAGAATCAAACAGTTGTTGTTGGTTAAAATTGGGCCATTACGTGCTTGGTTTTGCACGGTATAAGGAATTATTGAACGGTATTTTTGCATATTAGTGGTCAGAAACGAATTCAAATGTCTTAATTTGCATGAAACAAACAAGAAAAATGGAACCAAATTAAGAAACCACCATTTTAATTTGTTTGGTGCAATTGCACCCTATTAATCTTCACAACAAAAAATGTCACTTTGGGCATTTTTCTAAAAGCATTGATGTATCCAAAGTTAACAAATGTTTCTTTTCTTCTACCATGTCAAAAATTTCCAAATCATCTAATTATGGCTGAGAATTCATATAGGAGTTTATGCCTTTATATTTTTAGTATCATCATATACGAGTTGAATTTTTGTTCATGTGGTATCATAGGGGTTTGAACATGAGACTACTAGTCTGCAAGTCAATGTCCTTTTTCACTCGGCTAGACCCCGTTGACAACTTAATCACATGTTTAGATTGGATAAATTATCCAATGTGGGATTACCTATTTCATCAACAATTCGTATAAATCTTCAGATTGAATCATATCTTTGACCATTTATCATCTTATGAAAAATTTGTATAGTCGCTTATGAAAAATTCAGAACTTAAGCTAAACAGTTGGCATAGGCCTTCCATCATACATAGTTACATGAAAAAGAATTGGTTTGAGAAGTACACCAAAAATGTAGGTACAAAATTCGCCTAAAATAAAATTTATAAAATTTGCTACGCATAGACTGGTAATTCATTCAAAGATCTGCTCTTCCCGCAGATCTAGGGAATGGCATGCAATCCTTAATATTGTCGAGCCCAGTAGCAAATTGAACCATTCGTTCAAAACCCAAACCAAAACCACAATGCTTTACAGTCCCATAGCGCCGCAAGTCAAGGTACCACTCATATGGCTCAATGGGCAGCCCCATCTCCTTCATCCTGCAATAATTGTTTCATCAAACAATACATACATTTCTCAGTTCAAACTATCCATTACTCAAATTATGGGGAGGGTTTATGGGGAGGGGCAAAACAGCTGCTATAGAAAACATTGTGCACAAGCCAACGGGTCTAGCTTTGTGGAAAACGCCAGTGACCTTAGATTCGAATTTTCACATTACCTTAGCAGTGTATGTGTGAGAAAACCTCATTCCCCCAATATCGTTTTTATATATTAAAAAAAGAAAACACATTGTGCACAGGAGTTCCAAAATAAAAAAAACAAAAAAAAAACAGATGCAGATAAAAATCACTTAATACAAACCAAAACCCTCATACCTGCTGAGCATAACATCATAACGCTCTTCCCTTTGGCTTCCCCCTATCAATTCACCCACCTGAAATATAAGAAAAGCATAAACAACACACAAATTACACACAATGCTCAAGTACATACAACAGAGCAATGAACTCAATGATATAAATTTAATGTTCAGAGTATAATGCCCACCTTTGGTACCAGGACATCCATAGCAGCCACAGTCTTTGAGTCATCATTGAGCCTCATGTAGAATGCTTTGATCTCTTTAGGGTAATTGTAAACAATAACAGGCTTCTGAAACTTCACCTCAGTCAAGTATCTGCACGAAGCCAAAGCGATAAATTGGTAAGCTGAATTAATCAGAAACTGTAACAATACAGAACAATAGAATAAAGATATGAAAACTACCTTTCATGCTCAGATGCCAAATCAATCCCCCACTCTACATGGTTTTCAAACTTTTTTCCATTTTTTACAGCATCAGTTAGCAGCTCCACTGCTTCTGTATAAGTAATCCGCGCAAATGGTGTTTTAGCGGACATTGTTATACGGTCGATGCAACTTTTATCAATCTTGTCAGCAAAAAATTTCATATCTTCCATACAATGGTCAAGTAACCACTGACACATAAATTTCACATAATCCTCTGCACAATCCATATCATGCTGCATATGCACAAACTAAACATTAAAATCATAAATGTATATTGAAAAAACTACACTAAATTTAAGCTTCACGTACCTCAAGCTCTGCAAATGCCATTTCTGGCTCCACCATCCAGAATTCTGCCAAATGCCTTGAAGTATGTGACTTCTCAGCTCGAAAAGTTGGCCCAAATGTATAGACGGTACTAAGAGCGCATGCGTAAGATTCGAGTTGTAGTTGGCCAGAAACAGTCAAAAAGGCTTGACGGGCAAAGAAATCTTGGCTATAATCAATCTTCCCATCCTTTTGAGGGATACCGGGTTGAAGCTTAGATCTCTCCTCCATCTTCAAGACATTCTCCTTCGCCTTTTGAAGCTCAGCCACAGCAATGCCAATTTCCTGCTTACTTGCTTTAGCAGATTTGAGTTGAGCAACGTCATTTCCTCTCTGCTTGATAATAAGCTTGGCAGATTCTACGTCTACTTCTGATGGAGGAGGGTTCTTAATCAGATTTTTTTCCAACTTTTCAGCTTCACTAATCAAGGTAGTGACTTGAAACATCTCACCAGCACCCTCACAATCACTGGTGGTGATATTTGGAGTGTTCACGTAACGGAATCCACGCTCGTGGAAAAATCTCTTGGTTGCATATGACAGTTCATCTCTGATTCTAGCGACTGCGCCCATCTGAAAGCAAATACACGACAATCAAATACTAGTTATCAAAAGCACAACAGGTCCTACAATGCAAACAGGGTTAATTACCGTGTTGGTTCTAGCACGCAAATGGACATAGTCCCTTAGAAGCTCAAGGGGCAGTCTGGTCTTCGGCAACGGGTACTTCGATGCGTCAACCACACCCACATGGATCACCTTCTCAACCTGAAGCTCCACCTTCTGCTTTTTCCCATCTGGGGGTAGCTTAAGCACGCCATCCACTTGCAAGCAGGCACCAGTCAGCACAAGCTGCCCAAGGTCACCCTTGTCTGCCTCCACAATGATCTGAAGGTTGCCAGCGCATGACCCATCATTCAGCTCTAGGAATGCAAATGCATCCTTGTCTGCCTTCCGGCCAGTCTTCACCCACCCACCAACCCGGGCATGCTGCCCTGCTAACCCAGACCCTCCATCAGGCCTCAAAATGATGGATCGGATGGGGACTCTATCGGAATATTGCGCCCTTTCAACTGTGGTAGTCATCTTGCTACTTGCAGATTGACAGATGACAGAGGCACCTAAAGATAGCTCAACACATTATTTGCATATTAATAACAAATTCATAAACTCCTATTTTAATCAATAACAAATTCATATTCTATACACAAAAACAACGTAAGAAACAAACATATAATCAAATCCTACGTTTCATATTCTATGCACAAAAACGTAAGAAACAAACATATCATTGAGTTCCCATTCTCCCAGCCTGTACTTGCGCCCAGTAGTTGCTCAAACCAAAAACAAAAAAAGATTTTCTAAAAATCCCTTGCCCTCAAAGTTGAAAGCATCAAGGCAAGGACAACACAGTATGTGAATGTGATGATGGATCCAAGGCACCTACAGGCCTTACAGCCTTGGGAAAATTCTCAGAAATCTCAGTTCGGTAAGAGGTCGTTGAAGAAACCTATAAATATACGTTGGGAAATGTACCATTATGCCCCCTCCCTGTTATGTCTCCATTCCACTCCAGATAATCAGAAATTACCATTTTCAGACTTTAATATAGTCAACCTAATCCTTTATTAAGCCCAAAAAAGAAAAAGAAAAAGAAATTCAAATTGGTTTTGGGGAGGGAGAAAGCAGTCATATGATTTCATTCAAATCAAGCTGGACTTTTAGCAACCGGTAACTTCACTAAGATCCTGGATACTGATTCATTGAGACAGACTTTAATGACCTACGTGGCAACACATAATAGGCATTGGGCGGAGCTAGGAATTATGTGTTTGGGGGCCAACATATAAACCAAACAAGATATTAAAAAATTTCAATTTTTCAACCTTAACAATGTTTGGAAAATTAAAAGACAAAAAACAATTGTTTATTTAATTAGATATCAAAATTTTCTGCAATTTCACATAATCAAAACAATTTTCAGATGCTACTGTCTCAATATAAGAATCAGGTACAGATGAGATAACTTCAAATATTTCAATATGTTTTCTTTTGAAAAATCCATCAATTCTAGGTTGTTTCTTCATCTACAAACCAATTACAAATTTTATAAAGGACATGATTCATAAATTATACCACACAAAAAACTTAAAATTCTATGCATAGAACATATAAGATACGAAACATATAACTATATTCTCATATAAACATATACAAATATATTCTCATAATGACAGCGACAACCATTGAT